GAAAATAAATAAAATTAAAATTAAAACGTCATCAGTTATTTACTTTTTATTTATTTAAGAATTTTCTCGATTCTCGATTTTAAGATTTTTTTTTATTATTAATTAATGAATATAGATTTATAGCACATTTATACAGTATGTGACAATATTAATCAGCTGAAAGCAAATCAAGTGAGAGAACTTGAACTATTCATAATTAATATAATTATGTAGATAATTTTCATATATGCAATAACTACAAAAAATTTTACGGTACAAAAAGATATTAGGACTACAAAATTTAATTAATATATAGTCTTAATATTGAAATACAGTCGAATCCCTCCAGCACGTATGACTAGACGTAAAAGCAAGAATCATGTTAGAGAAAATTCGCGTTGCCGGATACACGCAAAATGTTAGAAAAAAAAATAAATATCAATTCGTTTTAAGAAAGATATCGTGTTACAGGAGTTTTGACACACACAATATTAAAGGGGTTCATATTGAAAGGATTTCACTGTGTATACAATAATTCTTTAATATTTCCCGCATTACTTCATAATATGCAATCAGTAGTAATAGAAATTTAAAGTATGAGAAAGGTAACAATAGAAGATCAATTTGTCAGTAGATCAATCAATATGAACTTATTATAATCAGCCAATGTTATTTTTAACAAAAACCTCAATAAAACTATAAAAATAAAGAGTTTATAGGGAAAACAATCTATTCTACATTTTTAAAATTTTTAAATAATTTAAAAAAAAAAAAATTCTGAAATACTATTACCTTAATAGAAATTTCATCATACAACTGCAGAACAGATGGACGTAATCAAAGGAACGAGTTAAAGGCAGAAAAATTAAATAAAATTTTTCTCCTAAAACTGGACTCGAACCAGTGACCTACCACTTTCTAAGCATACGCTCTACCAACTGAGCTACAGAAGTACGAATAAATTGCCGTCGAAAAATCGAATCTAAAATACTATTTCTCTACTGCTCAATACAAATGTATAGAGAGTGTAAATTAAAAGACACAGACCATATTTTTCCAAAATATTGCAATAAAATATTATTAATACTATATGAATTTGGCAGGTTTTTTTCTTATGTTGGATAGAGAATTTTCCCCAAAATCTGTCATATAGGTAGATATCTTACAATTATTAGGTTTGAGATAACAAGAAAATTTCATGTTGGAGTAAAACAATTAAAGTTAAATTATGGTTATAGCCAAATTCAAGAATTTATTCTTTATGTGTTTGAAATCTAATTCCTGAATATATTAAAATTTTCGAGTTATACAATTGTATTACTAATAATTTTATTGTGTACTCTGTTTATTGTAATTTATTATATAATTTAGTATAAAATTCTCTAATGATTACGAATTATTCAAATAAATTCAAAACGAAATTCTTTAATTTTGTTTAAAATTACGAAATAAAACAAAACACCAACAATATTTGTGTGGTCTACAAATATCACAACAAACATTCGTTTCATACCCCCAACACAAATAATTGAAAATATTTGTATTTAATTATTGTACTACAAATATAACAAAATAAAAAAAAAGAACACCTTCTTCTAAATTTTATTCTATATACAAAAACTTATTCAAATTTCTTATACAATAATATTAATTTCTTAATTTTTATAATTTAAATATTTATTTACAAGTTCTCATTTTCAAATAGAAAAAAAAATAGTGTTGGTAAAAAGAACATGTTAAGTGTTTTTAATGCCAAATTACGAGTACATAAAATTTGTGTTAACAAATTAATTTGAAAATTAAATTCTAGAAGAAAATCAAAATACCAAAATTACATAAACTAGATTATTGTTAATTTATTACTGTAATTAAAATAAAATGTTCTAATTACCCAATTTTTTTTTTTTAAATTAAAATATTTTTGTTCTATTATTTTGTTATTTATGTTTACATAATTTCAATATATTTACCCTAGTTTCGCCTAAATATATGCAATACTTTGGTAATAATTTATAATATTTTTAACCTTGGAATCATTTTATTTTTTAAATTACCATTTGTATATACTAAGTAGTATTTTTCTTCTTTATTTCTCTAATATTCTAATTACATAAATTTTGTAAGGACAGAAATATAAGGAAATTACGAATGAGCCCAATGAGTATATCATTAAATTATTCGAATTACAATGAACAGAATGAGTATACCATTAAATTATTCGAATTCTTAAGGTATAAATTGCGATGACTAAACGAAATTTAATTCAAATTGAAAATTTTTTTATTAAATATTAAGAAGAATGAGGGTTGGCAACGGCACAAACATATATATCATGAGTATTAATATACCAAAGATAAGCACCAATATTAGAATCAAAACAATATACAAATTATCTGCTCTAGAATCACAAGTTTTTAAAGAATAATTTGTGCGATCCCACTATAATCTATATATTGTTTAATTCAAAATTTAATAATTGCATTTTTATCGTATATTCACTTACGATATTCAATTTTTATGTTGGTGAAAAACAACAGGTGCATCTATATATATTATTTTATACGAATACTATTTAAGTGATTTAATGCATATATTTAATGCAAATATTTATAACTGTGCCTCGATATACACTGAAAAATAAAATATAAGATATAGAAGAGAAATGAATGAAACAATTATAAAAACAACAAATTGAAAATGCCCGCCCGCCAGTGATTATTTTTTAAAATAACAAATATATATTTAAGAAAATTTAACAAATTTTTTAAAATATAATAAACTAAATTAAAAGTGAAATAAATGAAAATCAAATGACTATTTAAATTTAAATCGGTGTGACACACAAGTTATTTATTTATTTATTTTTTTTTTCAACTTTGAAGAAGAAGATGAAATTTTAATTTAAATTGAAATGATAAATTTTAATTATATTTAAAAGTAATTGTCATTTATTTATTTACCTCTGTTATTTGTCTTACCTCCTCTTATGCATTTATTTAAAAATGCGTTTCTCAAATTTTAATTTGTTATATACGATTATAACAAGCTGAAATAAAGTAATAAAATGTAAAATTTTTCCGATTCACATTTGCCTATAAAAAGTTTTCTTCTAACATGGACAACACCTCAGCTCTCTGATTTTCTCCTATGCTATAGTATATCGGCACTCACATTTAAAATTACCTATTTATATCTAGTCAAAATGCCAGGTGCATTCCCTTTATACACTACATCGAACTTGAAACCTTCTCGTTCGATGTAGTGTATAAAAGAAAACAACCCCACTGTTCGACAAAATAAAGTTTCTGCTCCTCGTGAGGCTCCTTCTGATACCTTCCAGAGCACATAATTCAATATCATATATGTCTGAGGTTAAAGTATTGATGGGTAGTGTCCTACAGCACTTGTAATATTTACGTCCTCGCCGTACATAACTACACCCAACGGAGAGTCAACATTGATGGTCCACCTCGTCCCAAATCTGACTTTCAGGCAAATCCACAACGTATAATCCTTCGTAGTCTCGCCTTTAAGGCGAATATTAAGCGGAACCATTCTCAAAAGAGCCTCCTTCGAAATTATTGAATAGTATGAGGTTACTTACTTAAATATTAATATCCAACATCTATTACAACAGATGAGTAGTATATACGATATCATATAATATATTATATCTACTACTCATTATCTATCTCTCATATATACTACTCATTATAGTAATAGTATCCGTTTATAATTTAAGTTTGCTCAAACGGGTATAGTACAATAAAATTTTATTTAATATACGATAAAATTATATACGGTATTTTTATAAGTATACGGTATTATTATAAATATACGGTGTTGTTATAAATATACGATATAATTATAAATATACGATATAATTATAAGTATACGATATAATTATAAATATACAATATATTTATAAATATACGATATATTTATAAATATACGATATCATTATAAATATACGGTATAATTATAAATATACGATATAATTATAAATGTACGATATAATTATAAATATACGTTATTATTATAAATATACGATATGTTTATAAATATACGATATAATTATATATATACGGTATTTTTATAAATATACGATATATTTATAAATATACGATATAATTATAAATATACGATATAATTATAAATATACAATATACTTATAAATATACGATATAACTATAAATATACGATATAATTCCCATGTTCTTGTGTATTTTGTTGTTTTTAAAAGAAAATTTATTGAACTTTCTTTTTGTTTTTTAAAATAAACAATTACACACACATTTCATGAATTCACATAATTTCTTTGTTTCTTATTTTCGAAAATATTTTTAAATGTACATACACATAAATGCATATATATATATATATAAATATCGAGAGACTTTCCAAATTGCATAGCTACATAATTTAATTTCATTAAAAATTCAAAATAAAATTTCTTTTTTGGCAAATTTATTTAAAGTTGTAATGTTAAAATTGTGCGAAAAATAATTAAAATGTTAGGTGATATTATTGCCAAAAAAAAAAAAATAATAAATAAAATAATAAGATATTTTTGATGATAAATCTTCTGATTTTCTTAATTTAACAAAAATCATACCATTGTAAAATGATCAAATGGCTTGTTATTATAAAAATTCAGTGTAGGGGAGCCTTGAAAAAATTCAGAATTTCTTAATTTGTTTCAAAAATTTATGGTCTTAATTGATTGGATTATTAAAAATTGTCATGGAAATTCCCGATATCTACGGAAATGCTATAATTTCTTAGCTTCCTGAATCAGGGAACAATCTAAATAAGAATGTGATTCAAAGGACTTCCTAAATTTAGCTCTAGTTTAAAATATAAATTCGGTATTAAAATCGATAACAATCCGAAAACTCAATGCAATACTATACATTTTCCCGGTTTTATTAATTAAATAAATTTAAACTACTTTTAAAATTTTAATTTTAAAATTCATTTTATTAAAATAATTGTTTTTTTTTTTTTCAATCTTTTAACAGGCTGCCGCACGACATCAATGCACATATCTTGTTAAAATGTATGAAAAAGAATTTTTACATATTGGTGGTGATCCAAAATGGTTAAGTGGTTTAGAATATATACCAACAAAATTACGTGCTATTTATAATATTAATAAATTATTAGCACATAGGCCTTGGCTTCTTCGTAAACAACATATTGAGGTATTAATATTTTAATTGATTTTATAATTATATTATTTTATTTTAAATTAATTTTTGTTCTTTTTTTCAAATATTACAGTGCCTTACACGTTGTGGTCAACATAGTTGGTCATTATCAGAAGTTGTACATGCAATTGTTATATTAACACATTTTCATTCTTTATCATCCTTTGTATTTTCATGTGGTTTAACACAACGTTTGGATAATTCATCTAGTTCAAAAAATAAAACTCCATCACAGAAGACTGCACAAGGTTGTTAATATAGAATTTAATAAATTAAATAATATTTATATTAAATTTATTTTTTTTTTATTATTAGACGTAAGAAATGCAAGTCGATCAAGTAGACCTTCACTTAGAATTGCTCAAAATAGTAGTTTCAATAATAATATGAATCCATTATCAACAGCAAATAGTAGTGATTCATTGGCTTCAAATGGTTCCATGAATGGTTAGTAAAAAATTTTTCTTAAACAAATATTTCAAAATTCTTTTAATATTTAATTAATATTTTATATAACAAAATAAAGAAATTTAAAAGTTTCTCACTTAAGTCTTTTATATTTATATACCAATATCATTTTTATTTTAACAATAGGTTCAAATTCACCACCAATACAACAAGAAGTTAGTGTTGAAATAATAATGAAACGTATGAAATTATTATCAGAAAGAGAAGATGAATGTAGTGAAGCTGAATTAAGCAGTCGTTTCAAAAAAGTTGAATTACAAACAGCTGAATTAGCTTCAACAGTTGCTGAACAACCTGTTGAAGTCCCACCGATTATTAGCCATTATATTGATGATCCTAGTTTTATATATAAAGATTTTGCTAGACGTGATGTAGATAATACACCAGATACGTTTAGAATTCAAGATTATTCATGGGATGATCATGGCTATTCTCTAGTCAATGGGTAATTAAAAATAAATAGAAGAGAATTTTTAATTTTTTTTTTTTTTTTTTATTTAATAATAATATTTTTTTTTTTTTTTTAATTTTAGGCTGTATGATGATGTTGGTTATTTATTGGATAATAAATTTCGCTGTGCCTATAATTTAACATATTTTACAATGGCTGGAATTAAAAATGTCGATACATCAAAATTTCGTCGTGCCATATGGAATTATATACAATGCATATATGGTATTAGACATGATGACTATGATTATGGTGAAGTAAATCAGGTTTGTTTCCCATATTATAAATATGTACATATAAGAATATTTAACTTAAAAAAAAAAAAATTATTTATAATTTTAGTTATTGGAAAGAGCTCTTAAAATGTTTATTAAGACAGCATGTTGTTTTCCAGAAAGAATAACAAAAAAAGATTATGACAGTATACTCTGTGAATTATTGGACAGTGAAAAGGTAATATATATATGTATATATATAATTTTGAAATTTTTTTATTTATAGTAAGCGAAATTAAAATCCCATTATATCTGTCTCTTAATGTTTCGAATAATTACTCAATTAATCAACTATCTTAAATTTTTAAAATTTTTCTCTCAAAATATTTTTAAATACAATTAAATAATACAAAATATACGCTTAACCATATTGAATAAATATTTTGCATACTTTTATAATAATTAAATATTTTGCATATTTTTAGGTTCATGTTAACCTTATGATAATGGAAGCCCGAAATCAAGCTGAATTGCTTTATGCACTTCGTGAAATAATGCGTTACATGACATGATCTCATAATAAAAATATTAAACAAAAATTATGTACATATATATATATAATATTAACGTACATTTATATATATATATACATATACATACATATTTACATAAACTAATAACTTAGTTATTTGTTTTTTTTTTTTTTTTTAATAAATTTTCATATTCTGTTTTTATTTTTAAAATTTTTTAAATAATTTTAAAAATTAATAAATTGAAAAAATTAATTAAGAGAATCAAAAATAAAAATTTTGTAACTCTTAAAAATTAATGCATTATTTGTAAAAGAGAGGAAAACAAAAGGTTTTCTTAAAATATCAAGAATGTAAAATAAAAAAAATTTTTATAAATATTTTATTTAATAAAAAAAACAACAAAAAAAAACATATTGTAATCACACACATAATATACACATACATTTTAAATAAGAATTAAAAATTAAAAAAGAAGAAAAAAATTAAACAAAAAATTATTTTTTTTAGTATATTTAATTTTTATTAATTCATCAATACATACATATATATATATTAAATAGATATACATGCATAATTATATAAGATTTTAATAAATTAAACAAAATTTATTAAAAAATCTGTTGAAAATTTTGCAATTAATTAAAAGTAAAAATTTAAAATGACAAAAAATTAATATTAAAAATGTTATTTTTAATTTGTATTTAAAATTCTTCTAATTAAGAATTTGATTTTGATTTCCTGTAACTAAATAGCTTCAATAATTAAATAAGAATTTTTATATTTAAATTCCATAACTTTAATTATTATTGTTCTTTTCAAATTAATTATTTTAATTTCTTATTGTTTTAAAAGAAAAATTTTATTTAAAATTTCAAATTATTTATTCTATTTTCATAAAATTATTTCTTTAAATTTATTTAAAAATTATAAGAATAAAATTTAAATATAAAAAACAATATTGTAAATTTATTTAAGATTAAAATTTTCTTTTATTATCAATAAATTTAAAAGCTTTTATTGTCATATTTTAGACAAATTAAAAATTTTTTTCATATTTTAAAATGAGTCCAATTCATTTATTACAAATTAGAGAATTAATTTGTAATTCAAATTTTAAATTAAAAATCGAAATATTTAATTTTAAATTAAAAATCGAGTTATTAAATTTCAATTTAAATATTAAAATCTATAATTTAATATGTTTATAGTTAAATCAAAATCAATTATTTAATTATATTTCAATGTTTGATATATGCAACAATGTTAGAGATTCTAATTTTCATAATTATTTTAATAAAAATTTTAATAAAAACTTCATTTGATTACAAAACTATTGCGAATTTTAAATATTATTTAAAATTATTTAATAAGAATCCTATTAAATTGCTTTTATTTTAATACAAACAAAAAAAATATGAAAACAATTTGCTTCTATATTATACAAAATGTGTAAAATATTTCTTAATAAAACAACAAAACTTAATAAATATTATTTTTGACGAACATTGTATACATTTATAAAATATATATGTATGTATGTATTTAAAAAAAAATATATATTACAAAATTTAATTAAAAATCTAATAATTTTGGAAAAAAAAAACAAATAATATTTTTTGTCTTTATATAAAATACAAAATTAATTATTAAATCTATACAAAATAAAATATATAATAAATATTATATTATTTTTATATAAAAGAGAAAAGTAAAATTAAAAAAATTTTTGAAATTTTCAATTGTAAAATTTAATTAAATTTTTGTAATTTTATTTTTTTTAATTAATTAATTTTATTAGATAGGTTCTATTATATAAATATCAATAATTATAATTTATATATTAAAAAAGCAAAAACAAAAAATAAATTTTATTTTTAAAAATTAAAATTTAATTAAATAGGTAAAAAAAAAACAAATTTTAAAATAAAATTATATGAGAAAATTAAAAAAAAAATAAAAAATTAAAAAAACAAAATTTTCATATACACATAAATAAAAATGTAAAAATTAAAATTATTTTTTCCTTAAATTTATTAAATAATTAAATAAACAAAAATATATAAATTAAAACTATGTACATTTTATATAATATAAAAATTATGTCGCTTTGTGATTTAATAAAAAAAAATAAATTTTAAAAACAATTGTTTTATACCTAAAATATACAAAGAATGTAATATTTATGAAATAAGAAAATTATTTTTTTTAATAAAAATTCAATAACAAAAAAAAAAAATTTTTAAAAATAATACAAAATAGGTGATATATATAATATAGGTGATATATATATATATATATATATACATATATATATATATATATATATGTATATATATATATATATATATATATATACCTATATATATATATAGGTATATATATATACCTATATATAGCAAATATTATTTGATTATATTTTGATTAATAAAAAAAATGCATATATGCATGTACATTTCAAGTGTTTAATAAATAAGCCGACAAAAAAAAAACAAAATTATTTTTGTACCATTGTTTGTATATACCATTTTGTACAATTGTTTTATATTCTAATTTTAATTTTAAATTATTTTAATAATTTTATTTTACCAAAAATTTGACATGAATTATAAATTTTAATTTTTAAAATTTCATTTGATTATGTACTTGTGTAAATTGTAATTTTCTAAATTATATATTAGAACTATATTATTATAATTTTGAATTGCCGAAAAAATTTTTCAAAAAAATTAATAAAATTTAAATTTCAATGTTGTATTCAAAGTACTCCAAATTTATAAAAAGGACACAATTATTATTATTTGAACTAAATTTGATAAAATAGCTTGAAAATATTTAAAAAATAAAAATTTCACAATTATTATTCAAAAAAAAATTGTACAGATAAAATAATGAACATCTTTTAATTATTGTAATAGAAATTATTAAATAATTTTTAAATAATTTTGCTGTCTCTATATCATGGATGTCAAGACTTTTGAAACTATGAGCCAATTTCCAATATTCTGTATGAGAAAAGGGCCACAAAATAAAACAATTAATTCAATTTTTAAGGTGTATAAACGTTTATTTATTTTTTATTAGAAGTACTGGAAGCTGAGTGACATTGCTTCTATTGAACAAGTCTTAAAATATTGGGTTGCATATTTTTAGTAGCCAATCGTAGAATTGCAAGTAGATTATCATCTGTAAGTCGATTTCTATGGTTTCTATGGTTTAAACTTTAAACCATAATAATATTTTAACAATTCGTTTTAGAGGGCCGCACCCTAAATAAGAAAATGGTCGCATGCGACCCACGCGCCGCACATGCTCTATATGATTCATTTAAATAGCAAATAATCATTATAATTATATCAAATATAATATAACCAAAAAAATTAATTATAAAACAAGCTATTAATTAAATAAAATATATATATATATATAAATTCAATTTTTGAAGAAAAATTGCATAATTTTCATTTCAATTAATTGGAAACAATTAAAAATAAAGCTCATTATGTTCAAAAATTCAATTGTGAAAAATGCAATAATTAAATTTGATTATTATAAATAAAAAATTAAATAATTTATAGGTGTTTCTTATATTTAAAAATGTTTTCTCTATATGAATTTTTGTGATTTTATCGTTCTTGTTGGTTTACCAAAATAATTTAGAACAAATTCAAGAAAAATATATATTCTGCAATATTTCTGCAATATTTTATTTAAAATTTAATTAAACTCAAATAATTTTTGCTTATGAAAAACTGAAAAAAAAAAATTCAATGTGAAACTAAAACTCATTTAAATGTTTTTTATTTCAATTCACTTTTTTAATTTAATGCTGTGACTTTAATAATTAAATATATAATAAATAAATAAAAAACAAAATCTAGTCCATATTTTTCTAATATTATTAAAAAATTCACAAAAAAAAAACAACAATTATATTTGTACAATTTCTTAATATTTCAAATAATTTTCAATAATTTTCAATAATTTTAAAAATATTTTTTTTTTATATATGGCTAAACACGTACCGTAAAATGTACATACAATATGCATTAAATAAAATTATTAACACTTACATAATTATATGAAATAGAAATAAAAAAAAATAAAAAATTAAGAAATAAAATTACAATAATTTTAAAAAATGAAAATTAAAAAGTAAATCTGTGAAAGCATAAAAATTTCATAAAAAAATTTAAATAAATAATGTTTATATACTTGTAAATAGGTTTTTTTTTTTTCAAAAAAAAAAATAAATATAAAAAATTATGCTGTGTTGATTAAAAACTTTAAATTTTTTTTAAAATGTAAAATGTAACTAAGAAAATTATGTAATAGAAAAAAATCTTATAAGAGAATTTTTTTTAATAGAATTTTTATTTTAAATAGAAAAGCTGTTGTGATAAAAAATGTAATCATATTTGATTTTCTAATATGGCAGTCATTTTCAAATGAATTCAAATTTTTGTTAATTTCTTTTTCTTTTTTATTTGCCTCTTTTATTTTCACTTTTGACAAATACAATTTTTATATACTATAAAATGTCAACTTCAAAACTTTTACAAATGACATAAAATTTATTTTACAAATGACATACTGCCAATTGGTGGTATATGCTATCATACTTATACAAAGCGCTTATATTGTGCGCGTTAGAGTCCACTTTTTTGTTTTTGTTAAATCTTAACTATGTAAATTTAAAATCATTTATGAATTCTTTATTTCAAAAAATATTGTAATCGACTTTCTTGAATATATATTCATAATAAATTTAGCCTTTTAAATTTTTACATTTCTTTTTTACAATTTTTACGATATTAAATTAAAAATCTATAATATTTAATAATTGTGAATGAATTTAGTAATAAATTTTAATTATAAAATGGTTTATTTTAAAAGTAGGCTAAAGTCTATTTCAATTAGAAATAATAGAATTCAAAAATATATTACTCCGTATGGGGTTTAAAAATAATGAAATATTTGGTTAAATGCCGTTATTTACTTTATAGAATATTTATTTTTGTATCTGAGTTGAAGTTTTAAATCTAATAATATTGATATTTTCACAATTTTGGAAATAATAAGAGTTTGCATTCAAAATAAATCATCTAATTTAAAAAAAAATTTTTTTT